GGTGTGATACCATAGTAGTGGGCTCTCCAGAGATGTAATGGGCAGGTGAGGACAGAAAGTAAAAAGAGCCTGAGTAAATGTATGTTATCTCGAGTAGCCAGGGAGCACACAAACGGCAACAGCTGCCTCCGAGAAGAGCCTTCAGAGGGTACACATTGAGAGGAAACAGTCCTCACTGAACATGTAAAGCCACAACACTAAATAAACAGAGAAGCAAGCAGCAGTATCAGACCACAGAGGGGCAGATACCAGTGTTCAGGGTCACCACAAGACCTTATCCATAATGATCTATTTTCAAGAAAACCCAGGAAGATAATGCAAACTCGGGGAGAAGTGTAGGCAGCTGGTGAGGGACCTGAGTATCAGGTTAGCTAGATAAAGACTCTACAAGCAACTGTTATAGTGCTGTTCAAAGAACAAAAGAAAACTGTGCTTCAAGAACGAAAGGTGCGTTGACAGGATTGAAACCAGTAGTGAATATCAGTGAAGAGTTAGAAATTATAAAAAAGCACCAACTGGGAACTCTGGAGTTGAAAAAATATAATAACTGAGATTAAAATTCACCAGGGGCTCAACAGGAGATTTTAGCTGTCAGTGAAAGAAGCTGTACTGGAAGAGCTTAGTAGAGACTATGTAATCTGTGGGAAAAAAAAGAATGAAAAGAAAGGAAGAGAGTCAGTTTCAAATGTGAGACAGTGCCAAGTGTATCAATGTAATGAGAGCACAGAACAAGAGGAGAAAGAGAAAGAAGGACGTTCCAAAGGAGCAGTGATTTAAAATTTCCCAAATTTGAAAAGTAAAAAATATGAGAAAATGAAAAAATGGAAATGAAGTGTTTGTAAAGGTGGAGGGGAGGAGGTGGTGAAGGGAGGGCAGGGACAAGGGGAAAAAATGAGAACCAGGACCTGTCACGTAAAGGTACAAGATCCCAGTAATGAATGTAACTCTACTGTATCCCTAAAATGTACCAATGAACTCAATGAGGAAAAAAAATAAAATTTCCCAAATTTGATGAGTATTTATTTATACACACACCCAGCTCAGTAAATTTCAAGCAAGATAAATAACAAAGAGATCCATGCCCAGGTTGATCACAGTCACATTTTTGAAAACCAAAGACAAAAAGAAACTCTTGAAACCAGGAGAAGGAAGAGAACTCATACATAAGGGAACACAAATAATATTAACTGACTTCTAGTCAGAAAATAAAGAGGAGAGAAGGCAAAAGCAATATGTTCAAAGTTCTGCAAGAAAACTGCTAGCTGAGAACCTTATATCCAGCAAAGCTACTTTCAAAAATGAAGGCGAAATAAAAACATCAAACAGATGACAACTGAGAAAAATTCATTGCTAGCAAACCTGACATAAGAGTAATACCACAGGAAGACTGTCAGGTTGAAAGTCTGACATCGGACAGTCATTCAAACACAGACAAAATTTAAAAAGCACAAATAAAGGTAATTATGTGGTTAATTATAAAAGACAGTATAATTACACATTTCCTCTTCTTTCTTATTTAATAAGCAGTGGTGCATAAAAATATTTATAGAATTGTGCTGTTGGGCTTGTAACTTATAGAAATGTAACATATTTAACAATATGGCACAAAGGAGGCTGTGGAGTAAGGAAATGTCACCTGCTGATGACTTGAATTCACACAAGGAAATGAAGGGGACCAGAAATAGCAAACAAGGTCAAAATGACAAACTGTCTAAATACACACTTGTTCTCCTTTCTTCGCTCAGTTTCTTTATGAGACATATAATAATATAGGGCAATAATTATGAACATGTATTCTGCAGTTATATGTATGGATATAAAATTATATAATATGACAAGTTTCTCTATGTCATTGACATTTGCGATAAATCTGAAGCAGATACTGATATAGAACAAGCTGTTAAAAAATAACTGAAAACATAGTGAAAGCAAAAGTGAGGGAATTGAAGGGGTACAATAGAATTACCCATTTGTAAAAAAGTAGCAAAAAAATTGGAGAATAAACATATGAGATGTACAGAAGGCAGATATCAAAAGGGAAGATGTAAATTTTACCTAAGCAACTGTTACTTTAAATGTGAATGGATTAAATAAGCCAGTCAAAGGGCAGAGATGAGCAGAATAATTAAAATAGCACGATACAACTGTATGCTGCCTAACAAGACATATTTTGGATCCAAAGGCACACAGAGATTGAAAGCAAAAGGATGGAAATAACATACCATGTGGACAGTAACCGTAAGAGAACTGGAGGAGCTACACCAATAGTAGATAAAGTGCTTAAAACAAAAATGTTACTGGAGGCAAAGAGGTGCATGCTGTAGGGATAAAAGAGATTTGGAGATGATATAACAACATATAAGCACATATGAATCTAACCATAGAGCCCCAAAATACATGAAATTAAAGCTAACAATTAAAGAGAACAATACACAATTCACCAACACATTAATACATTAACAGGTGGCAGAAGTTCAATACATTAATAGATGGCAGAAGATAGAAAATACAGAAGACCTTTACATGGCAAATTAATTAGACTTAACAGACCCTGCTCCTGAAAACCACAAGGCACCTCTGTGGGGAGATAAAGGAGCCCTTTCCTTTAGCATAGGGCTTCCCTTGGGAGCAGGCAGCCTGGATCAAGGCCCTGGTTTCTCGGTCACACGGCTGTACCACAGCAGCTCAGCTCTGAGGGGCAGATCTGGGGGAAATGATGGAACCTGGAGCTGGATGTTCAGCCGAGCTCATCAGCAAGTGCTTGGGAAAGTATTAAGAGCCTCTTTTAGCCTTGTATTTCTCCTCTGTTGTATAAGGACATAACCATCTCCTTGTAGAATTTAATGTAGCATGGGTTCTGTGCCCCTCCTTCTTCCTCTGCCTGCTCTCCCTCCTTTTCTTTCCCTCTCCTCTCACAAGCTCACCCCTCCTCCCACCTCTGTGTGTGTGTGTGCGCGCGCTTATATTTAGGTACGTAAGAGTATGTTTGTATGCAAGTCTATGTGTGAATGCATGGGTTTGCTTAGCTCAGTGCCTGTGTGCATTTAGTAATCCATCATAAAAATCAAATGTGATGTGTATATATAAGAAAAACCCATGATGATATATATATATATATATATATCCACTATGGATTGCAAACATAAACTAATAAAAAATTTTAAAGTCAGCTATATTTGAGTCTCAACATATTCCACACATCTGAGTGGAGAAGTAGACCAAATGCTTCCCATTAGTCCATTTTAAAAATACTTTTGTGAGCAATCAGTTCAGAATTTGTGAATTTAATTGTGGTCACTCTGGGACACAGTAGCCACTGGCTAGCATGTGGCTGGAGGGGGTACAGTGGAAGATGGGAGAGGATCAGCCAAGTTGTGGGGTCTCAAGGACCTGCATGGGCCCCAGTTCTGCTTCCTTCCTGCTGGATGTGTAGCCCCTGGCCATGAGGACACTCATCTTTTGGGCTGATCTGAGCACTGGGGCATGAAATGGAGCCCGGTCTGGTTGGTGCTCTAACCCCCTGGGCAACACCTGCCTCGTGCACACAGAGCTTAGGCACAGTAGCCATCAATCTCACACACTGTGCCCACTCCAGAGAGCAGCAGGCTAGGAGTTGGCACAGACACGGGCAGTGCCCATGAGGTGCATCACTCTGAGTGGAGACGGACGTCCTGTCTGAAGGCTGCCTGCTTCTGCACATGCTGCTTTTGGTACAAGCAGCTATGACAAGGGAGCTCTTTCCTTTCAAGAGACCTGTATCACCACGTGCTTTTTTTTTTTGCCGAGCCAGGATGATGAGACTAGGAATAACCAGCCTCCTCAGAAAACAGGACATGCAGAGGGAGCCCAACTGGCCCTGCCACTCCCACCTGCATGCTCTCCCTGGGGCTCATCTATAAACCACAATTGAAAAGTAGCTGTGCTATTGAGCCTCGGGGCTCAGTAAGGCCTAAATTCAGGTCAAAATGAAGGTGAGACTTATTTTAGATTAAACATTGATTTAGAGTACTAGCACTGGGAGGTGGTGCAGGCCTGTGCGTATGGCAAATGGCTTGGTGATTTTCATCCCTCTTAGGGTGTGGCATATCTGAAATAAAACACTCTGAACTAAGGTGTGGACAGCTTTTCTGCAGCTCTTTAGGCTGGTAAAGTAAGCTACTGAGACAGGGCATTCTTTCAGGGTGCACTGAGCCCCTCAGGGCTCGCATGGCCCCTGGTGCAGCACCAGATGTGCCCTAGCAGGAAAGACTCGGACCAGGCCTGAGATGAGCAGGCCCTGAGACGTGGTAGAGCGACACTCCCAGAGGGCTGCTGTGTCTCTGGGCCACTGCTCAGAGAGGAGAGGGACATGTCACCACCCTGTTGCTGACCTGGAACTGCTGTGTGTAAAACACCTCTTCCACAAAAGCAAGCAAGGGCAGGAGGCTCCTGGAAGGGGCGGGAAGACTAAGGCCAAGGCAGGGGCTCCACCCGCTACCAATGCTGTGGGCTCACTGCCCGAGCTGCTCCAGGGCCCATCTAGGGACCACCGAGATCTGCAGCAGGGCAGTCTGCAGCCAATGCCAGGTGCACCTCTGAGAGAAGACAGAGGGGAATGGGCTGTCAGCCAGACATGCACTGGCGTGGTTGCTACCTTGCTGGGCCCCAGCCTTGCCCTCGTAGGTGCTCAGTCAACATCAAAGTCTGTGCTGCAGGGTGCCCGTTGCTGGCAGGAAGGGCTTGCCTTGTCCTGCCCTACCCGAGCCCCTGGGGGTTTCAGCAGTGGACTGGTACTTCGTGAACTGGCTTGGTGTCTCTGTTCTGCTAGGCCTGTGTGGGAAGAAGTGATGGGCCCAAGATGAACTGTGGGTCTGACCTCTGGCTCTTATGCTTTCTTCATCTGTAAAGTGGGGTCTTTGTCACCAGGTTTGCCTGCTCCTTGGGGGGCTATGAGATCAAATGAGACAAGATGTTTTGCCGAAGGCTCATTATGAAGGTGGGGGAGGTAGGTGCACACTGACCTCAGATTCTGACGCGCCCTCTGATTTCTCCTTGAGGCTCATGCTCTCGGTGAGCACAGCACCATTGTACTTGTTGCAGATGTCCTCATCGGAGTATCGCAGACCACCGGGGCTTGGCCGGGGTGGGGACCTAGGGTGAGGATAGATGGCATAGGTCACCCCTGCCACTTGGCCTGGGTCCAGACAGAATGTGAAAAGGCCATGCCCTTGCCACCACTTTATCCAGAGCAGAGCATTCTGAGCACTGGCCCCCTAGAGACCAGATGGTAGCCCCCCGGTTGGGAGTCTGAGTCACTGGCCACAAGGAAACCTAGGGAGCATGGAGAGGACACATATCTAGCTGAGCGGAGCCACCCGTGAGAACAAGGTCCTGGCAACGCTGGCTCACCACCAAGGAGAGCTGGCAGGGGCCCACACTCCCGCTCACGATACCACAAGGGAGTAACTGTGTGTTGGCATTAGCTGCTACGTGTGTGGTCACTTGTCACACAGCAATAGAAACAGACATCTTGGGGATGATCATCTTGCAGCTGCCTGAAGGCCCAGCTTCTGTTTTTCAGGTAGAGAAACTGCAACTTGGGGACGAAATCTGAGCATAGACCCAATGCATCTTTAAATAGGGCAGGCTGGAGCACTTATTATTCTCTCAAGGTAGGTGGTGCTGCTGGCATCCTTAGGGGACTGGGATTATGTCTGGGACCCTCATGCTGAGAGGACCCAGCAGAGAGCTGGACAGTGGCTGTAGATGGGGTGGCCTTTCATATCCCCATGGGAAAGTCACTCTTGGTTATCTGAGCCCCGAGAAGTCACAGGTCAAGACATCAGGCCCTGGGCAAAGACTTGGGGGAAGATAGGAGACAGCCACTGCCTCCCTGGGGGTTGGCCGGGCCTGTTTCTCCAGGAAAGGCTCAGGGGAGGTCCACAGGCCTCCTTCTTCTCGACCTCTGAGATATTTCATTTTGGGGCAGATTCCCTTTGTCACCTAATCATTTGGGTAAACCTTTTTAGTTGAGGAGCTAAAATGGTGCCTTCCTTAAAGAAGTGGGCACTTTAGCATAAACAGAGATGGGAACAAGCATGCCACATTCTAAAGGCACCTTGGACACTGTGCTGGAGGACCTGACCCCTGTGGCCTTCCCTCCTTGGAGCCCTACAGGTGTGCAGACCCCGCTCAGCACAGGACTCTCCCTTCTGTCATATTCAGTAGGGCCTAGGCCCTAAAATGTGATGGTTTATGTAAAAACCCCCAGAAGGGCAGAACTTCCTCTCTGACTAGGCTTTGCTTTGTCTGTGTGCCCTCCAGGAAGTCCAGGACCTTCACTGAAGCCAGTTGACCCTGAGGGAGGAACCAAGCCCAGGGGTCCCGTTTGCCCAGGAAGGTGCCATTGTGGGCTACTAGGCTGAGAACCTCTGGCTGCATTAGGCCGTTAGGAAGCCATGCCCTGTGTTCCACCAGCTGGCTGAACAAGGCAGAAGCTGACTCTGGACATGGGGCTGCATATGTGGAAGTGTGACCTCGGGCCTCAGAGATGGCCTCTTACAGATGCTTGAGGGTGAGATGCCTGGTGGCCCATGGGTCCATGTCCACCACCACCCAAATCTGGTGGCCCCCTAAGAATGCACACAGCATGTGATGGGGTCATAGTACTTCCTAACAGAGGAGTCTTGGAGCCTGTGCTCCTTACAAAGCCCATGAGGCTGCCCACATATAGTGGCTGGGACACTACAGCCTCCGTGGTCCAGGCTCCACCTTGGAAGGGCTGCCTCACCTCTCCCGGAAAGCTCATACCCACCACCACGACAGTGCCCCTGGGCCACACAGACTCCCTGCCACTGACACAGATGGCTATTTTCCCTGATGGGGGCCCCTCAGGGGACCCTCTGTGTGCCGAGACACTGCAACTTCACCACGATGCTTCCTTTTTTCTAGAGGAAGTGCATGGACTTAACTCACAGTTGTCCTCAGGCTGAGTGCTTCAAAGCAATCAGCCGCTCTTCCCAAGAGCCACAGGAGACATCTGCAGCCAAGGCTGCAGAATGTGTAATATTTTAAAATGCTCAGTGACAAGTCCTTCTTGGACTTGAAATTATGCGATTGCTTTTTCACATTTCTATGCTATAACAGGAAATACCTGCCTCTCAGTAGACAAATGGAATGAAATATCTTTCAGACACTGCCACTTCCTGCCCTAAGGAGAGTGATCTGGATTAGTAGCCTCCTCTACCTTCGGTCAGTCACCTGGTGGTGCTGGCAGAGGGTTACTGAAGGAAAAGGCCATCTGTCACAGGGGAAAACTCAGAGTGCAGGAAATGCTGAAAACAACAACCTTTCCTTCTAGGACATGATCAAGCTTGCTGCAGTCTGGGGTGACAGCCACATGAACCAGAAGTTCCCTAATCCCAGGTGCCCCGCCAGGTGACATAGAAGGATGGTCTCATTAGTGTTCCAGCTCTCAAGCCCCACACCTGAAGTCCTACCCCTTGTTACATCTCTGGCCCTCTGCTACTGCCTTTCCTGGGTCTCCTGCTGCCCGGCAGGCTCAGAACCATGCCTGTTGGTGAGCGACATTTGCTTCTGTGGAACTGCAGTGGGATGCAGTGGGTCCCAGGAGTGCGGGACATGTCCTCAGCTGGCACCCACCTCTGGCTGACAGGCAGCTATGGCTCCCCGCAAAGCCCTGCTATGGCTTTCTTACCTGGCCTCACCACAGTCTTCTCCCAGCCTCAGGTCCTTACCTGGTCCCATTCTTCTTCAGGAAGGTGCTCTTGACATTGAGGTGGCGGCTGTTGAGCTCCAGGGCAGCAAATCCTCCATTATCCAGGGTCACAGACTCCTCCATGTTGGAGATGCTCTTACCTAAAGCCCAACCGGGACGGTGAGTACAGTTTCACTAATGTGCCCACTGTAGCAACACTGAGCCAATCTGCAAACATCAAAAGTTCCAGCATTCCTGCTGGGGCAGCAGGGTCCAACCTTTGGCTTGCCTGGCTGTATTGAGTAAAGGGTTATCTCTTGGTCCTCACACATAATACAGAGGTACTATATATGGTAATATGTAACAATATATAATACTGTATATAACGAGTAAAACTTTCTCTTTTGTGTTTCAATGTATTATTTTATGAAATGACACAGCAAGTTTAATAATTAAGTAAGGAAATGCACACATCTGCTTCATAACAATAAATACCTGTCTTCATAGTGCACACAGCTGGAGGAAGGCTGCAAAGCTGTGTGTTTCATTGGCAGGAAGGACCCGCATGATTTTGACTGCAGTGTGTGGCAGGCATGGGAGACAGAATCAGCACCACCCACACCCTTCCCTACACTGTTTCCAGGTCACTGCGCAGTCCATGTTAACAAATGTCTAAAAGTCACAGAACACAGTAATGGCAAAAGTTGAGGGTCTTGGGGGTTCGCACTGCTAGCTGTCCACTTTGGGTCGGGCTGGTGAGATGGAAAAACCTATTGCGGCTTGGGTCCTGCTTCGGCCCAGGGGGCAGGGGGAGCTGAGCTGGGGGCAGAGCTGTGCACAGGCTGCATTGCTGGAACGAACTGACAATATTAGCATTTCAGCAGCTGTTCTGCCCGATGTCAAAATACCAGCATTCTTGCCAATATTTTATGAAAATGTGCTTAGAATGCATAGACTTATTAAAAGTCACGGAAGTTAAATGTTTAATAAATTTTAAAATAAAAAATACCATGTAGCAAGACAGGAAGTCAAAAGTAGATTTATATGGGTATGATAGCCAAAGAAAGGGGCACAGGGGTGGTTTCCTTTTGAGTAAGGTGATAAAAATGTCCCCCAAAGAACAGTGATGGTTGCCTATATCTTTAAATTAGCCATCATAAATGCACACTTTAACAAAATTTATAAAAAAGTATCAGAACAAGTTCTACAGCATATTAGCACATGAAATGGAAAAGGCTGTAAGAGCCCCAAACGTGACAGCATTCCCAGTGTTCAGCATTCTCACTTGGCGTGGGTGTGGGAGCCTGGCCTGCTCTGCGCCTCTGCCTCCTTCCTGGATGTCATCTTTTCTCACTGTCCCCTCACACAGGTGGCTGCATGCTGAGCGGGCTCATCTGTCTGCCAGGTGCCCCTCCCTGGCGCTCCCTGGAATACTTCCACGTATCACTTACGTGTCACCTTGGGACTCTGCCAGCAAGAAGACCAACACCAGATGAGGTCCTTGACCTTAGACCAGAAAGACGAGGGAAAGCAAACCCCTTTTCTTTATATGTGACATACTCAGTCTGAGGTACAGTGTGATTAACACCAGAAAATGGACCACTGATACCAAGTGTTACAGGACAGAGCGCTCCTTCCTGACGTTCCCATAGCGCCTCTCGCACTTCCCACCTGCTTCACTCTGCATTAATACTTTTCACTCATCTGGGGAACTTATTCACACATGCGCATGCACACACCTATTACTTTCTGACTTCTACCTTCCCCCGTGGGGCAGGGTGCTCGCTGAGGTATGAACTTTGCCTGTTACGGTCCCTGCCATCCTGCTGGATGCCAGAGTACACCAGGGCATGGGAAGTCTGTGTTAACCCTGAGAGGATCCTCATCTAGAGGGGGTAGAGGCTGCTTTCACTAACAAGCACTGATCTTTACTCAGGCCTGCAGATGTCCAATGGGCAACTGAAAACAGGATAAACTCATGGCCTCTCTGTCTTCATTTTGTGTCTGGCTGCTTTGCCACCTTAAACTTTGGGTCAGATTCCTGCTCTACCGCACATAGGAGTGTTAGACTACATCGGAGTGTGACCACATTGAATAGTAACTTCCTTTCTTCCTCATCACCACTCATGTTTCTGGACTCTCAGGGGGCAGGTGGCAGACCTGCTGGGACCCCCTAAAGTCAGGCCCTGTTACCTAGAACTCTATTAACACTCTGCTGGGGACCCTGTACGCTCCTCATGTCCATCCAAGCTTTTGTGTACAACAAAAAAGCCGACAGACACAGCAGCAAGTAAGAGATGGATCTGCCTACAGTGGGGGTTTGGCTATTGGAGTGGGCAGGCCAAACCCAGAATTGAAAGGAACGTGGCCCAGCACAGCAGCTTGGGGAGCCTGAGCAGGAAGGGGAAGGGAGTGGTGCTGGCCTGGCAAAGGTTTCAGCTCCACACATCTCTCATCTCTTGCAGGAAGGTAGGCACGCTGGGAGGCAAGCCCCACCCCCCTGCCAGGCTTCAATTATGATGTTAAATTAATACTCCAGGGTAAAGCTGGGTATCAGAAGCTTCAGGTCAGATCTGCCTTTTCAAGTCTGTTTTGCAGATGGAGAGTAAAAGCAGGGAGATTTTCTATGCACCACACATAGGATTCTGTAATAGCATTAACTCAATAAAATGACATGCCATTCATATATTGCAAACCCCACAGGAATAAAATCTGATTTACGAACACTTGTTAGAAGTGAATTTGTACAGAAAAAAAAATAAGTCCTTTCTTTGAGGGATGAATTGCTGAATGTTACCAATGGCAGATGACAAAGCTTTTTAGGGGCCTGAGTTTATTAACCCTTTCAGCACAGTGGTAGTAAGGCCTGGAGAGGGGATGCCTGGTCTTGCTCCTTGTCCCAAGCCTGGGTGGTCTGCCTTTTCTTTAACAGCACCGTAGAAAGGTCACCTTTCTGGAAAGGACAGCTGGGAAGCCCCTAGTGACAGAGCCAGGCTCAGGAAGACTCCAGTCCAACCGGCATGGTGTTATCAGAGGACTGTCCACATTCTTTTTGTTTTTTCAATACAGGGGCCCTCTACCACTGAACTACCACCCCAGCCCCTTATTGTTTCGAGACAAAGTGTTACAAAGTTGCTCAGCCCAGACTCTAACATTCTCCTGCCTCAGTCTCCCATCCACAATCTTTGGCTCAGCTACAGCTTTGGGGGATGTTGCATGGAATTAAAAACAGGATGCAGGTGTATAGCGCAGTTATTTACTGGTTATACAAAGAACTGGCCTCACTGGTAATTACACACATTTTTGTTAAAAAAAAGCACCCTGAGGATAATAAAATGTGCACAGTGCCCTGATCTTATGTGTCTAGCACGATGCTTTCTTACTGCAATCTGTGTGGAGCTTGGAGTACCCCTGGAAGCACTTTTTAGGTTCCTCCTGATCCTTCCCTGTCTGTTTCTCCTCCAAGAGGCCACTGTGACCCTGCCCTGCAAGAATACACACGTTCATTTACTTCCGATACTCACACTCCCATGCTCTCCCATGGCCTGCCTCACCTCACACCCATTTGTTCATTTCTCTAACTGTGACACATTCTGCAGAAAACATGTACATGCTCAGGTGGGGAGCTTGGACGGGGTGCAGAGCAGCTACCTTGTCCTCTGAGGGTCTGAGCTGGACTAGGGACATAAGGCGAGGTCCAAGTGCAAGCTTGTGAGAGGACCTGTCTCACGGGAACACTTCTTCAACACCCCATGTGGCACACTGAAGTAGCCCATGTGTACTGGAGTGCACTGTTTTCATCACAGCGATGTACAGGAGTGCATCTGCCTACTGCTTATTCTTTCTGGTCATACCCAGAACACCAGTGCATTGGAGGGGCAGTGCACAGGAGACAACTGAGGCTGACTGACTGAATGACAGATGCTGTGACCAGGCAGGTGGCTGATCTGAGGGCAGCCAGGTAGGATCCGGGTCACTAGGCTGGAACTCTGGTTTGGCTCTGTCTGCCACCTCCAGGAGGCAAAGCCACTGTATCTATGTCATCTCCTCCAGGCCAATGGCAGGGAAAGACAGAGGCAGGAAGGGCAGATCCAGGAGAGACAGGGAGCTGGGGGACACGGGGATGCGGGGATGGGGCTGCATGGAGTTCGCACCTGCACCACAGCTCTTGTACTTCTTGTTTTGCCCATGCAGGACCAGTGCAAACACCACCAGCAGGATGATGATCAGGCTTGAGAGCGCCATCACCAGCAGGAACCACCACTCCTCGTAGAACGGGGCTTCCACTTTGGCTGCAGAAGGGACAGAAACTTATAGTGAGGCTGCACAGAAGCTCCAGATCCAGCTGACACCCGCGAGCCAGGCACAGAGAGGATGTGGGGGATGAGCTGAATCACAGGGAAGGTGAAACCACTTTTCCAGACCAGGCTACAGTGGGCCAATCGACCCCTTTTCCATGGGAGCAGCTTAGGTCTTGGGACGTTTGCAGCAGGTTTGAGGATTTCTGCTAATTTTCTACCTTTTGCATAAAATGTGGCATGGGCTCTTCCTAGCAAGAGACAGTTCTATCCTTGCCCATCAGATCTACCATCATGTTCCCCTAACCTCATATGCTTACCAGCACTGTCTGGATTAAATGCCTGTTCCTTGTTCCTGCTGAGCCCTCCTTCCAGCTGGCCCTTGCTCCTTCACTACAATTCGCATCGTCTCTTGCCCGTGCCATAGAACCTTGTCCTGACCTTTCTGCACCCTCCCAACTTGCTCATATCCACTCTTTACAAGGCTGCCAGAGAGGTCAAACTTTCTCCTCCTGCCATGCTCCATGGTCGCCATGGTCCACTGGCTCTGGGGTAAAGGCTCAGCCCTTGAGGCCCTCAGTACTTGTCCCTTGCTTCCTGCTCAGCTCTGGATCTTCCCTGACCTGTAGGTAAGCCTCTCCTAGCAGGCACTTACCAGGTGTGTTTGTCTGCTATCTGTTGGCCTCTTCCATCTGACCAGAGCCCCTGGAGGCTGGGGCTTTGTTTTATTTATGCTGTGCCTCCAGCAAAACTGAGCTGAACTAGCAGTCTCATCGTTAGATTTGTTTTTGAGGAATGAATAGAAAAGGTTTCACCTAAAAGTTGCTTCTGAAAAGGGAACTCCTCTTCCTGAGGCTGTGTTCTGTTTACTCAGAACAGGAAAACAGAAAATGGTTTCTCAGTGGGTCCCAGTTAGCCCTGGGTCCACTATGTGCCCTCCAGAAGCTTCCCTCCAGGAGGCTGGTTTGCAGCATTGGACTCCCGACACATAGCCTCTTACAGGCAAAGCCTAGAGAATGCCTGCAGCTGCCCAAATCCCAGAAAACACATCTACCTTGCACTAAGTATCTCACTGGATGGATGAAGAATGTGTGCACACTGGGAAGAAAGGGGAAATTGGTTTTGGATAATGTTCCGCCACAGGGTTTCTTAGGAGATAAGAGTATTTTGAATCTGAAAGATAGAGGCAGGTTTTTAGGCTGTGCATTCAATATGCCATATAACAAGGCCAACAAAGCCACCCAGAGTGGCCTGGCTCTGGCGCTGGTGGGAATGACAAGACAAGAGCCCCATGTGGCACAGCCAGGGTGGTAACACAAGGCCAGCGGGTGACAGTGGCTGCTCAGAGAGGCATCCATGCAGGGTGCACTTGAGCAGGGTGAGGGAGCCCTGTGACTTGCCAAGGAGGAGTGTCTGTTTTTAGCTGTAGGTTTGTAATTGCACGGTGTTGGGTTTTCATGGATGAACCAGATCCTGAATTGCTGTGTGCTGGGGCTCCTTATCCTACTCTACCTTTTTGGGCATGTTTAAGATGTTCATAATAATATTAAGTAAATGAATATTTTCCCCCACATTCTTGCTTATTAAAAATTAGAATGGACCCCTGGACCTTTCTTTGCTGCCCCTCTCACTGAGGTACCCCAAACTGGAGGGTGCTCTTAGACCTGGTGCAGGCCAGGACCCCAGCTCACCCACAGGTCCTGTCCTTCCTCAGACACCTGGAAGACAGAGGAAGGATGTTTGCAATTTCAGCAAAGTTGGTGGGTAATTAAGCTAACCGAAAATATGTGCTGCCAAAGTCAGCATGAGGATTGCAATTTTTAGCCTAACTTTGGCAATTTGGTGAGAGAAAACCTGCCTCAAAACCAACCAACCACCCAACCAACCAACAAGCAGGGGGTGAAACATATTCTTTCCATAAAGAAGAGTAGCAGTGAGGCTGGCCTTCTCTTGGCTCAGCCTGCAATAGTTGCTGGCTGGACTCTGCCCATTACCCGTGACTCCTCTCTGCCACTGGTTGCCATCAGCAGGTGCCTTTTCTCAAATTTCATCATCTTGTTGTCTATCATCCTCCATTCCACTGCTCATTAAAACCTCCAAATCTAGGCTCACAATCTACCTGCACATCAGGTCATCTGCAAGTTAAAAGTGAGAGGGCTGGACCCCTGTCCAGGCAGCTGAAATCACTGTCTTGATGGGGACCTGGTGCAGGCTTTGTCTTAACATTTGCATAACTCTAAGGTGCAGCCAGAGGAAAAAGATTTTGTCCCTGGGGCCCCCTGACCAGCCCCTACCTGACACTGCTGGGGAGGGCCTGCTGGGCTCCCCATACCCCGCCTTGTTGATGGCCACCACCCGGAACTCGTATGTCACTCCTTGCCGAAGCTTGTCCAGGCTGACGGTGTAGGATGTGGAGCTCCGGGGAATGTCCTTCACAAACATGTCCCACAAGCCTTCATCTGCAGGAAGAACAGGGTGACAGAGAGCAGAGGTGAGGAGAGTCTTCTCCCAGGTACCAGCTCCAGGTCCTGGGCACCACACTGGCCTGGCCTTTAGTCCCAGGCTGCCCTGTTCCAGGGCTGATGTGAGTGTCACTGGCTGGTGAAGGTTGTACAGAGCAAAGGGAGAGAGACAAATTTCTTCCTCGAGGACAGGCCCCCCTGAAGTTGCAAGCAGGACAGTAGCATTACCTTGGTCCTGTTCCCCATCTTTTCCTATTCTCCTATGGTTTCCTACTTCATCTGTCTTTGGGATTCCTGGCTTTCTCCCTAGGCTGCTGTTCTTACTGCCTGCTGTGTGTACACCATTACCAACCCCTCTTGACATGCTGGTAACTCTGCCTGGCCTGTCCACCCTTCTGGTCACCAGCTGGCCCTTGTGCATCTGGGGTGTCCCATCTGTACCCTGATTGGGAACAGCATGCAGCCAAAGGGTCAGGGTGGAGCCTCTGAGCCCCAGCTTCTCTCCTAGTACTGCCAGCTTCACAGTGGTACCAGGACTGCCTCTGAGGGCAGCATTAACCTAGTCCACAGACATGGGGCTGAGTGTCTGTCACAGAAGAGTGTTGGATGGCAGGTGATGGGAGATGCTAGAATCACAGGCTCTGCACCTGCTCAGAGGCAACACTGCTGGGGTCCCTTTCCCTCCCTAGGGGATTTGGCCCTGGCTTTTGACTTAACCCATTTCCCTTTAAGAAACAAAAAGCACAGCTTGCTGTCCCTTCATTTTATTTAAACACCTTCTTTGAGCCTGAAGCAAATCTGGTTTTCAGTGTGAAAATACAAAAACTGTTCTTGAAGTTGTTTCTAAACAGAAGTTGTCCCTGATCCTAATGTAAAAGAAATATCCAAGATCAGTACTTAATAATTTTTTTCCATGTGGTAAATTCCAAAGCATGGAATAACACAAAGCAGAACATCGCATTCCACACAAAAATACATTTCTCTCCAGATCTTCTTGCTATTCTTCCCTCGTGAGAAAGGCAAACTTTGCAAAGGCCCACTGGATTCAAAGATAATAATGAGAGAGATTTTGTGACAGACTTTGGAAGTAAGGTTAGAACTGTAATCTGCAAGCTGTCTTGGGGTTAGCACTGCAACCATGAGCACTGCCAGTGAGTATTTTTCTAGGGCAAAGGGGAAATGGGTTCAAGGCCAGCTCCAAAACCACACTGCATCAAGGCCGAGCTGAAGTGGCTTCAGCATTAAACCTACCCTGAGAGTACCCAGGTTTCTGGTCTATGTTCAGGTGTTACCAAATATAAGTATAAACTTTCAAAATATATACTGCATTTTGAACAGACACTTGTATGCTAATGTACGTGGTGGCATGATTCATAATAGCTGAAAGGTGGAAAGAGCCCAAGTATCCACGCGTGGATGAATAAACAGCGTGGCACATGATGGAACAGTATCCAACCTTCCACAGGAAGGGTGTTTGGAAGCAGGTGCCACAGGGACAAGCCTCAAGGGCAGGATGTCAGTGAAATAGGTACCAGAGAGACAGACACCAAGAGCTTTTGCATTTGAGAGTCCCTGAGAAGTCACTTTCATGAATGGGGGGGGGCTGTGGGTGGAGCCACTGGGCAATGAGAACAGAGTTTCAGTCTGAGAAGATGAAAAGAGCTCCTTGCATGGATGGAGGCGATGGCTGCACACTATGAATACACTCAAGGCCTCTCCTTTGGACACTGAAAATAGTTAAAATGGTAAATTTTATGTTATGCTAATTTTACCACAGTAAAAATGCTGAATTTATTTAAATGCTGACCTACAGTGTCAATGAAATTAAAATGAAAGCCAGAAGTTCTGACGAGGAGAGGAATGAAGGAGCAAAAGGGTTTGGTTGGTTCCGAGGCGTTCACTCACAGAGCAAAAGATGAGAATTTGTTATCAAAAGCAAAGACCCCACAGTATCAGGGCTGAAAGAATGAGTCTGAAACTAGATGGTCTGTGGTGTAAAGCCTGTCCCTGCCAATTAGCTGTGTGATCTCAGGCATGGAACTTGACCTCTCTGTGCCTTGCCTATAGAATGGTGATAACGAAGAATCCACATCACAGATTTGCTCTGAGGGTTAAACAAGTTACTGTTCATAAACTGCTTAGAACAGTGCTTCACACATGGCAAGCACTATATGAATGTTTACAAAATAAAATATAAATTGACTCCCCAAAGAGGCTGTTTGCTAAAAGGTAGGCTGAGAGCCCAAAATGTTCATTTGAAGTAGTGATCCTTCACATGTTATATTTTCTTTTTTATAGGCACAGGTATGTGATACTTTAAAAAGCAGGAGATGGAGAGAGGAAACGCCGTTTGAATATGCATGTGCACGTACTGACAGCTTTATGGGCCCCGAGGTGATCTGGGAGCCAGCCCCACACACGGGAGCACCAGTCATGCTCCAACGGATTAGCCTCACGGTAAACAGCAGGAAATTGCCAGTGCGTCAGGCTCTGTTTGCAGAAGATTTAGAGTTTGCCGGACCAAGTCCTCATATCACAGGTTAATGAAGGAGTAGATACGAATGATTTTAAAGGTACACATCTCTGCACAGGCAGAGGGGCAGAACAATGATGATCTACCTCTAAATACTCACACTATCACCAAGTCTCATCAAGATACTCATTACCAGTAATAATGTCAAGATGGCAAGCCGCGCTGAAGTGGGGTTTCTCCCACTTAAAATATTGCCGTTTACACATGGAAAGATGGTGCATTTCCATGGTGTTCTACATAAGGACAGTCAGGAGCGCTTGTACACTGACTCACAGCAGGCTGCTCCCTCACCAGGGAGTCTCCCTCAACAACCCCTGTACCCCTCATTCATGGCCAAATACTTCAGGTCCTGTACTTTGGCTGGGCTCTGTTCCACCCCTTGGGAACCAGATGAAACCAGTTCTCAGGCAGCCATGCACAGTCCAGGGCAGGGGTGGAGGGGAAGCAAGGTGATGGCCACGCAGGAGGCATGACTGCTTTACCTCTGGGCTCTTGAATTTATCAAGAATGCGACAGACATTTGTCACCATCATCCACCTCTCCTCAGGCCTCACCCGAGAAGGCTTTCCATAAATGGCAACCTCCACATTCTCTTCATGCCTCCCAGAAGCAAGTCTCTGTTCCAGGGTTTAAACGATGGATGAATTGTGGAGGGCTCCTCCTCCAAAAACATTTTCGGGTGTAAGAGATTAGAGGCAAAAAGACTTTCAAACTGAGTGATGTGTAAGCCCACTGAAATTAAGGCACCAAGAGTGTGAAAGATTTTCAGAGTCTTCTTGGGTCTGAACAACTTCATAGCAAATTCTCTGAATGTCTTTTGCATTAATGTTTCTCTAATGCTTTCTTGTGACTAGGGGAAAAAAATGATTCCTCTTCCTCTCCAAAGGCCACATTTTATTTTAAGCGCCCTGTCATAGCTCTAGGAATGCTGTACATTTTTTATAAAAACATTTTAAAATATTGATACAGAATTTCAGCACAGAAAGATGTATTTAGTTATTCTTTTATACTCAAAATGGAGAGGGGATAGCATATCATGATAATTTATTTTGGAATTAACAGAAAAAAATGATCACATATTTATTCTGCTTAATTCTGCCTTTCTAAAATTAGCAGATTCAGCATTTTATGGTCCAGTTATAATTCACTGGGCTATTTATCCATACCAGTATTTACACTATGATCATGAGTGGGTGAGAAAAAATTTGGCATCCACTACAGTATCCAGTTTCTCAACTGTGGTTGGTGTTTTTATTTGTATTATGCTGCTAAATATCTCAATAAGTCAATGATGGAGAAAAGTATCTCTACAAATTAGTAGGAAAAATAACATCACAGAACTATTAGCAATAATGAAAGTTGTGTGACTGGTTTTCCATGCACCAGGAGGATCCCTATGTCTGGACTCTATCTCAACCCACAGTAGGGAGGAGAACAGTCTTTTATATTTTTCAAAAAATAAAAAATTAAAATCCTGGGCATAGAGTGCAGAGGGTTCTCCATATCAGGATGGCTCACCCTGCTGAGCTGCTTGGGAGCCCTCAGCCTGGCTGTCCTCTTGGGGATAAGCTTCAAAGTCACAACAGAAAGAGAACAGCCATGGCCCTTCCGAAGCCAGACCCAGGTGACTGGTCCCTGGATGATTGTTCCCCTACATTACTGACCCCAGAATCAAGCATCCCCAGGGTCCACACTTTACACCTCTAGGCAGATCCTTCTTGGTATCCAGGGAACTCGGGGAGGAAGTTCAACCCCACTAGTTCTTTTGGCCACCGTGAAGAGCACTTTCTCAGACTTTTGTTACTGAGACATGTGGGAAAAATTCCACATCAAGGTCTTACAAAAGCAGGGGAGCTGCTGAGAAGCTTTGCAAGCATTCCTAAATCAGCCCCACATCATCACCAACCTGAAATTCATCAGGAGGAAAAATGAATGAGAAACCATATGTACAAGTGTGATTCCATAACCAGGTGGTTTCTCTTTAAAGAACATCCTCTGTTTGATTCTGTTATTGCCTTATTTGTTTACTAAAAGAAGAAAATTGGCCAATATTGAAGATTCCTGAAAAAAAGAAATCTTTCCTAGTACAAATAGGATTTGCTATCTGAGACCATGTTTGTTTCTGGTGGACACAATGAGTCAGCTTTTATCCTTCTGTGACAGTGTCTCTTGCGCCCTGACAGTAGGAGGCACATCTGTTCCCTGACAACATCTTGATGCGCACAGAAATGTGATCTCCTTTTTGAACTGAGACAGCCCTGCACAGTGCATCCAAGGGGACGACACTGCTAAATGCATCTCTCCGATGAATGCCCAGGACTGAGTGGTGCCCCGCAGGTAATAGGGCAGACACAGAGCCAATACAAAAGTGTGATTTCATGGGCAATTAACCAGGGTCTCCGTGCTGAATGAAACTGTCATTCACTGCCTGAGATTTCTGGTTCCGCTAACTCACACAACCAAC